CCAGCATTTACCAGCGACTAGTAGAGAGTGGGGAAGAAGGTGAAGAAGGTGGATAGCAGACTTGTGGTAGAATATGGGGAAGTAGGAGGGAGAAGACAGCTGGATGCGTCGTCAAATGTGGGGTGTGCAATCGCATCGCACCGCTGCACAATACCGTACTCATGGACGCTGATGTTGGCTGGTGGACAATGGTTGACGCTAGAACGATATCGATGCTTTCCGTCCCCTTGAGACGCTGATGGTTGCTGGTGGACACTGGTGGACGTTGCCGCAAAGTATGAACGCAGCAGAAGAGGGGAAGGCTTTATAGACGGTAAGGGATGAGGAAGCAATCAGCGAAATTGTGACTGTGTCAGTTTTGATGGAAGCTGGAGGGAACGTTCGGTAACATATGTATAGGCATACATATTAGGGCTTATTCGCCTATCTTTTCAGGAAGGATGCCGAAATCCACTCGCTGACGTCGCCGTTTGGAAGACGAGCAGTCACTGGTTGCTAAAGCTTCAGCGGCAAATCAAGGAGCTTCAAGCTCGTATCCAGGAGCTGGAAGGAAGAACTCGAAGCTGAACGCCAAGCTCGAAGCAAGGTATATTTCTACTTTCTGAAGTCCAAACGTTTTACAACATTCCTTCCAAAGGCTTGCTACAAGCTTGCAATGGCGTCATACTGTAGCGAGGGACGCCCCTGATTGGTGACGATGCACCAATCAAAGGCACATTTTGGATGAGTGGTTTGCGTCATAATGGAAACTTTACGCCCTGGAGGGGTGGGGGCCGTGGGGGTGGGAGCTTGCGATCGCCATTTGTGGGAAGCAAGGTTCGAACACAAACGGCACAGGCTGGTTAAGTCAAGATTGACAAGAGAACAAGAAAAAAAACATGGAAAACGCTTTAAATGGGACGAAGAGAAGTTTAGTGTCAAGAAAAGGATCAGATGAGAGAGGCAAATGGGCGATATGGGCACGAATACTCATGGTTCGAGATTCTCCCGCTGATGTGATGCGATGGAAAAACGAATGGAAAGGGAGGGCAAATTGAAGTAGCGAGGGCGAAGACTGCTTATCGTGGCATTGTAGCACCGTCCTTATTAAGCACTTTCCAGCCGCTTAGGTGGTACATTCTTACAATTATGACCCATTTCATCTTGTACGAGGAGAAGACTTCGCTTGCGGATGGGCGCGGACCCTGCTTTCAAGGCTTAATGCGACTGCTGTTTGACAGTGTTGAAACAATTATCGTTCAACTATGACGAGTATAATGACAAGGGGAAAGTGGACGTATATGAGTACAAGAATCATGTTTAGGCAGAAAAGGCCAGAAACGAGATGCAGCTGGAACTGGAAGAACTCGGCGATCGACTTGACGAAGCGGGAGGTGCAACTCAGGCTCAAATGGAACTGAACAAGAAGCGTGAAGCCGAGGTAGGCAATCTCAACGTTGTTCTTTGTTTGTTTTCAGGATTCTGCTTCATTTTGTTCTCATCGCAACCTATACCTAGCTCGCTATATCTAGCTTGCCAAACTCCGCCGCGATCTAGAAGAAGCAGCCATCAATAGCGAAACAGCCATGGTAGCCCTTCGAAAGAAGCATACTGATGGCATCGCTGAGATCACCGACCAACTCGACATGGTGCAGAAAATGAGAGCTAAGTGAGTTCTGCTGTTGGTATATAAGTTATTCGGTGTAATGTAGGCTTGAGAGTGGTAGAGCGCGCAATCAGCTATGCTCCCGTTGATCATAAGGCGCCAGTACCGTCCCCATTCGTCCCTGCAAGGTGCTAGAGTTTCTCAATGGGCTCTCTACGCTCGAGAGACGCGATGAACATCAGACAAGTACCCTCAGAGCTTTGAAGTCAGACCATCGCATAGGCGGTCGTCTAAGGGTTCATTTGACATCCCCGTAGTCGCTCTAATCCAGCCGTCATGTAAAACGCATGGTGTGCCTACCCCTGAACACCTTGACAAATGTGGACGATTACCTGGTCCTCAAACATCGACCTTGCGGTGCACAGTATTCCCTCTCTCACTTGCATATAGCAGGGAGCTCCAAGCATCGCTCTTTTAATGGCGCCTTGAAAGAAACCAACCGCATGTTCATCCTGCTTCCGCAGAGTCCAAGTCCTTGAGCCGTGGATTCGTAGAGCAGGGATTGCAGCATCGTTTTGCAACATTTTTTTTTCGTCAGACTCACCCGCAACAATAACTCGAGCTGCTCTCCAAACGTACTGAATATGGTTATAGCGCTATATATGCACTCGCTTACTTGTTATAGCAGTAGAAAGAAAACTTAATGACTTCTCATGGGCGCTAGTAACACAATACATTCAGGCTCGAAAAGGATAAGGCTCAGCAACAGCGGGAAATCGAAGAACTGCAGTCGGCTATTGACAGCGAGGTGAAACAGAGACAGGTACGCGTCATGTCTTTTCAACAGCAATAGAAGGAACTGTAGAAATTAATTTATTCCTTCATTTTAATATACCTGAAGGAAGGTGTGCCAAGACCACGATAAAGAAGCTCAAGAAGCGGCAACAGGCACACTGAAAATAAGAGAAAAAGGCAAAAAAGGAACAAGAAAGAATGGCTAGGCTGCGGTATCATTGTTAGTTCAATTTCAGAATATGGAGCGTCTTGCCAAGCAGCTCGAAGTGCAGCTCACGGACATGACCCTGAAGAGTGACGAACAGGCGCGTAGCATCCAGGAATTGACCATGTACAGAGGAAAGCTTCAGGCTGAAAACAGCGAGTTGAACAGGTGAGCACCGATGGATTTCGGGGTCCTTGATTGGCAGCAGCAAAAGGTCCACGGACAGCAGGAAGTTATCCCCTCAACCACGTCATTTTCTGTTTTTCTGTCTGTTCTCTCATATGCATAGCGTTCTATGCCCACTGTGCTCTCTCACGTTCCAGCTTTCCAGACACGATAGGCGGATCTCCAACCCCTGGGGGTT